ACAAAAACAGCATTCTTCCATCTTAGAAACATTGCCAAGTTACGAAACATGATACCTGTTTCTGATGCAGAAAAGCTAGTTCATGCATTCATGACCTCTAGACTGGACTATTGTAATGCACTGCTAGGTGGTTGTCCTGCATCTTCAATAAACAAGCTACAGGTAGTCCAAAATGCAGCGGCTAGAGAAATAAAGGTGACTTGACTTGACTTGACTTATTGCCTTGACTTTATAAGCACAATTATGGGCTGCCATCAAACACAATAAAAATATACCATCAAATGCCAAGCTGAATGTAAGGAACTGTGTTTGAAATGGAATACTTGCCACTTACTGAATACTTAGTATACATTGTATAATGCATACTATTTTACTGAAATAATATTTGAAAAAGTATGCATTATGCAAGAACAAAACTTCTAAATAGCAGTATGCTACATTATCACATGAATTCATATTACATAATGTATCCTGCTGAAATGGTGAGAGTATAATGTTAGTATGCTTTCTGAACTCAAGCATGGGAGTACTTGTGGGACATTACTCATGTGACTTCAAGGAAGAGTTTCCTCCACCTATTCATGCACAGAATCCTACACTACATAGTAATTTCTCAAGGGTTTAGCATGGTTTAGAAATGCCATTGTTTTTACTTTAAACTAGCAATAGACACCACTGGATTTGGTGTTGACATCAAAGCTCAAACATTATGTGTGGTTACTTTGAAGTCTGTGTGGCATAACACTGAGGCCAGATTCGCCCTTGACCCATATAAGCCACTTTGTCTGAACTTAAACATCCTCCATGGTTCAGTGAACTAGGCAAAAACATTCATCTTCAACTTATCTTTTGCAACCCATTTTACTTCCACATTGTGACATATTTGAAAGTGGAAAAAAGGGTATTGTTGGACTTTTTATCTACTGTTGAACCATTCCCTGATAAACCACTGCTCGCTGCCAATAATATTTTAGGAGGGGCCATATATGTAAAATTATGCAAGAAAATCTGCTACACAACTTTTATGTAGTTTGGAAAATTTGGTGGGGTTAAAAAGCAATCTGGTGTAGCACTACTCTTAATCGTGTCATATTTCGACTCTGTCGCACTTGCAGGAGATGAGGCAATTTGAACTTGGCTTTGTGATGGCATGCCTCAAGAATTCCTGTCCTAGATTTGGTTCCTGAACCCTGTGGCAGTGCTAATCTTTCCATAGATAATAAAAAAAAAAGATTTCTTTTTGTCTTCATGAAATTTACCATGATCCTACATTGCCTATGATTTATTAGATAATCCTTAGGGGCAAAGTGGGATGCATCACTAGCAGAATGAATTACTTTGTAATATTTAAACCACATGAAACCCAGGGCGTTGTTACATTTAACCCAGCTGTGTCTTTTTGCTTTGCACCTGCTATTAAAATTTATATGTGTACATTTCTAAGCTTGTTTGACTTAACAATCATCTTGACATTGCTGCCATCTCTCAAAATAAAACACCTACATCCCTAAACATTTATGTGAATGAGCAACCAACAACAGATAAAGTTAAATAATTTAACAAGTCACACAAAAAATTTGAAAAACACATAAATCCAAGCATGTTGTTTTGCACTAGGATTCAGTTTCATTGGCATCTGGAAAAAGTTTTCACATCATTGTACTTGCCATTATGTGTAACAATGTAATTTGTTTGAACAGTTTACATTTTAAAAAATTAAATGGGATGCAGTAATAGTGTAAATTTCTATCCTAATGTGTCCCCTACCTTAATTTTGGCAGGTCCAAACATGAGGGTCCACAGAAGCTCTGTTGGGCTGCACTGAGGATGCTTGCGTTGACTGGGCCGCACTGCTGTGTGTCTCTGAGAGTGTTATAGCCTGTCAGCGTTTTTAAGGCATCTCCCTCCTGCACTCCCAAACTCAGCATGCCATGAGGAGCCAGGAAAAAAATGCAGGAAAGGAGGAGAACGGAGGGAGGAGCACGGAGGCATCCAAGAGGGTGGGGTGAAATGAAAACAACAAAAAGGACAAAGTGAAAAGAAAAGAAACCTTCCAAAAAAAAAAAAAAGGGCCAGAGTGGACCAAATGGATAGAAGGAAATGCACAAGGCTATGGAAAGAGTATAAGAGAGAGAGAGAGAGAGAGAGAGAAAAGAGCAGCCACCACCTTGTTCCCAGACTTTTCGGACAAATGTTAAGTAGCTGCTGACAGTTCCAGAGAACCTTTTAAAGAACAAGATTAGCATTTTAATGACCCAAACATTTCAGATAATATTACAGGACTGTAAAAATAGCATTGTAGGCCTAATATATTGACAGCAAACTGAAATACACTGAAGATTATATGTAATATAATTTTGATTTGTTGACAGTTTGCTCATTTTAATTTGGTCTAGAATGCCTATATCATCAGTTAAAGCTGAACTTTAAGTCATTATGTTTGATAGGTCAGTATTTACTACCTACTGTATGAATCATTTAAAATGTGTAAATGTAGAGGATAATTTGGCTAATATTGGCCTTTTTGTGGCTAAAGAGAGCCATTAGCTTAACCACATGAAAAAGAACATTGTTCCAAGGCATTCAGTCACAGGCAATCACAAAATAATCTGACCATCTCTGTAATTTAGGCAGATTGGCTGTTTTGTGCCGTGAAGGGCACAGTTGCAAATACTTTTTTTTCTTTGAAAACTTTTTTTTTCTTTTTCTTTTTTGTGTATTTTTAACTTATCCAATGTTAATTTTATTTGTTTACAATATTTAATTTGTTACCAGTTTTGCAGAAACATTCATATGTAGGTACAATTTTTATTTGTCTACAAAATATTTATGTAATTTTAAGTATTCAAGCCTCAACCTTCGGACCTTTAAAATAGTTTTTTAACATTAAGGGACACGTTTGTCAGCATTAGTATTTATATGTCTAACTTTTAGCTGATTGTGTACCATTTATAATGCTGGTTTAAAAAAAGTTGATGTTAATGTTATTTATCAACTAACTTTATACTGATCAACTTTCAATCAAAAAGGGAAAAAAGGATGCTGTTAAAACATTTTGTAATCGGATCCAGGCTCCATGCTTCCCATGTTTATAATCTCTGCAAAGTGCTTTTCTTCCCAATCACCCAATTCATCGTGACATGAGGCATGTGGTTACTGTTACTGAGAAAAGACCATATGTTTAGGTTTATGTGCATGCTAAATGGTTCAGTGGTAAACATGACTGAGGAAATTGATGTCTTCTAAATTGTATATAAAGCAGTCTAAGCAAATGAGGGTCTTTTAAGTACATGAGCACATAAGGATAAGGTCATCATTTGAAGGATTTTTTTTAGGACTGTGGATCATGTATTTTCATATTAAAACTAGGGCTGGTAAGCGATTAAATTTTTTTTATCTAATTACATGATGTGGCGATTAATTGATCTAATTAATCGCACATCAAATTTGGCTGAGAAATGACTCCCAAAAGATCATTTAAAGTCATTGTTGTGTAAAGCATCAAACAGACATTGCAAAAAGTAGCTTCAGCAAGAAAAATTTTGTTTGATTCAACATAAAATGTATTACATATACTCTTTTGGACCATGAGGGTGAGTAAATGATGACAAAATTTTCAGTTTTGGGTGGGTGAACTATACTTTCAATAATTACATCATGTAGAGAAATATTAAGCTTGCAAAATATGCTTAAAAAAATAGCACAAAACTGACCTGTGTTGTTGACTGGCTTTTTTTCCTGCTCAGTTTGCTTCTGCTGTTTATATCAATGAACACTAGATGTCCTCATTAGCAAATAAATCTTGCTACAAACAAAACCACTTCTGTCCACGATCATTTAATAAGAATCTGTAGAGTTGCTTCTCTAAGCAAATATTAAATCGTTTTGATTTGTTTATTATTTTTGGTCACTACATAATTACCATACACCCATTTACTTTAAAATGTGTTAAATAATAATAATAATAATAAAGAAAAAAATATGGCTTTTTATTACCTTGGAAGTCTGATTAAAAAAAAATCTTTATATTGTTATTAATAATTTATATAGTGTTTAATATTTTTATATTTATGTCATATTTGTTATTATATCAATACATATATTGATATAATACTGTCTACTGAGTACACAGTAGAGATCACGTTCATTTAAACTAGTAAATAATTATAAAATCACGCTTTCAGCTCTTTCAAAAGCTCAGTTTTTTTAGTTACTCCGAGATGAGCGTTGAAGAACACGTGCAAGACACACGCAATCTGCTGGAAAGTGTTACAGCCATATAACCGTGTCCTGATTGGATCCTGTGTGACCAATCGAAAGAGCTCCGCCAATCAGCGAGAGGGTGGGCGTGACCAGGACCCTGCAAACACTTGAGAGGGTACAAGATGTTACTGTTCCACTGCTGTCCCACTGCCTTGATTATTAATAAGCGTTTGCCTCATCGTGCTTCAGGGGCCCGGTCAATGGACAGTCAGCTGGACAGACATAAGAGCAAAACAGATGGAGCACGAATTACAGAGATGACGCGTTGTCTTAAGATTTTAAGCCTAGTGTTTTTCCAAAGCATTTACGATTTGAAATTGTAGGTCTGTTGTTGGACCGAAGTATGCGAAGCCAAATATCAGTTTTCTATTTTTATATTATATTTCTTATTATTATTTCTATTTATGTTACTATTATTTTTTTATTTTCCTTTTAAAACCAATAATAAGCAATCGAATTGTTATTTGTGTTTATAGTATCTATAACTTTAGTAACATTAAACATGGACGTTGAACAACTTAAATACACACTAAGAAATGCACACCATTGGTTAATGTAAATGTGACAAAATAGATACTGTTAGTGTAACTTTAAAGAATTCATGTTTGAACGGCTCGCTAATGCACATCACTTAATAACATCTATCTGGGACGAACGTATGTCCAATATATAACAAATTAATTGTTGTTCTATCTCTAGACAGTTTAGTGAGACTGACGACCTAAGGAAACTCATCCAGCGGTTCTCCCACGTGACCATGGCGAGCGAGGCGTTGCCAAGTGGAAGTGACGTCACGACGCTACGTTCGTGTTCACCACAGGAGATACGAATACGAGGCCTGTGACAAGCTCCTGCGACGGAGGTCCGCTGTTAAAATCCACCTCCATCTTCCTTATCCTTGGGGATAACGATGACCAAACCGACAAGAGCATAATCTACAGACTCTAAGATTTCGCCTGATCACAATATTGTGATATTTCGGACTTAAATATATTAGAAAAGGAATGGTGAAAAGTGAACTCCGTCGGAAGAATCCGAATTCTCCTCAGGGATTCGGGGGGGTTGGGGTCGCATAAAGATATATAGGATCGCAACAGTTAAACAACGCGGAAAAAAATTTAAGGTAAACACGAATTTAAAGGCCGACAGTATCTGGTTTTATAGAAATTAGCTGAAATACAACCAAGGGACTCGTTCGAGAGACACCAATAAACACAGCGATGGAGCTACGAGTTGGAAACAGATACAGACTGGGTAGAAAAATTGGAAGTGGATCATTTGGAGACATTTATCTGGGTAAGTATAAACTTAAACACACGTATACACTCTTGTCATAAAGCTGTCAGTAATATAGCACGGCTAACAAGCTGTTTTGTTTCACGTATCTGTCAGCTGCAACTGTCTGGTGTTTTTCCAAAGATTGACTCGTTATAGTCTGCTTATGAGGTCCGTTTCTCGGTTCTTCGGGCATTTATATGAAAAACCATGTTTTATAACCATGACAAGAACGTATTTCAGACGACAAGTGGTTTATTGAAGTTGCAGAGTATATAAACTTTACGTCCCGTTTGGAACTACACTCCAGGAGGTCATATGTGACCATAAAAATATGTGCTTTTGACATTAGACTCAGATGTCAGTGGCATAAGATAGAATACAACACTTGCTGTAAATTGATGTGTGATTTCACGGAACCTGTGAACAGGAGTTTCCAAACGGGTCCTCCCTTGTCTATAACTCTGAATGAATCTTACCTGTCCATGCAGGTTTCACTGAAAGCATGAACCACCCAAAAGGCCAAACCTGGCATGTTGAATCACCCTATGACGGACATTCAACCAAGCCTGGCTGATGCTTTTGCAGTCTATTAAAAGTCAGATCATACTATCAAGGCTCATGATTCATGCAGTCTCATTTTTCTGATCACAGGGTCATGGTGCCTTTTGGGGAAACAATTTTGATTGATGAAGCTGTCCTGAAGCAACACAGTCAGGAACCAGAAGAACTCTTTATTTACATGCTAGATGGCCTTCATGGTTGAGAGCATCAGTATCACACCAGGATGTCGTCGATCATTTGAGTATCTACGGTTGACATTTAGAGATTGTATTGATGGCTATAGAGAGCCATTGTTTTGTATTGCAATACAAGGCACCAAAGTAGGTCATTGTTTTTCGTTTATACTCTTAACTTTAGTAGTACTCTTAACCACCTTAGCATTTCATTTTCGACTCAAGAGCAAGATGTGATGTTCATCTCTTATTCAGAAGGCTTTATTAAAGGAAGTTTTGCAGCTGCTGGCCTTAATTCTTCTCGCTGTAGTCTCCTCATTAACAGGGTTCCTCTCACATGGATTGAAACCTGTGGACAGAATGTTGAATTTAATCAAAGCTCCTCCAAACATCAGGCTCAAATGCAATCAGCTTCCTTTATTTTGACAGAGAAGCACTGTTGGCAAGGGGACTTTGATCATCATAGTGGTAAAGTGTGGTGGGGAGACCTTTATCCCGAAGCTTTTTAGCTGAGATGGGATTGTTTCAGTCTGTCTGTGTGTGAGAACAGGGCTTGGTGGGTGTGGTGTGTAAACTCCATCTGCTCAGTTGTTTCATAACTGCACCCACTCTTTGGTACATCAGCATAATGAAATGCTTTTTTGATTTAATGCCTAAATGTCAGGTGTGATTCTGAGGCAGTGCTATTGAAAGATCTTCAGCACATGACTGTGTGAAATGCATTGAAATCATCTGCCGTATCATTAGCATTAGAGGCTCAGAAGATAAAACTCAACCAGATTTGACTCATTGCATCATGTTACACTGCTTACTGCCCTTACAAATCATCCGACAGTCAGCGTAAATGCAACACCTCTTCCTTTTTCTCAGGATTCTGTAATATTTGCGTCACTTGGCATCATGGGAGGCCTCAGGTGTGTGAATCACCCAGGACTGTCCCACTCCTCTACAATTCTGGCTCCTTTACATCAGCTTTTATGTAACCTCCGAGTGTTTGGTTTGGATTAATGATGTGGTGATGTTTGTAGGTTTGGACAGGATGCCACTTCTGTAACTTCCCTTCATCTTTCGACACCAAAAATGGAGATCTCATTTAGCTATCAGGCTGCAGTTTGCATTTAGCACCTTATCAGATGTTTGACATCTATTTTTCATGTGAGTTTCGAGCACATGGAGTTTCATGTCCATATCCAATATGGGCCCATCAAGAGTCAGCTGTTGGATAGGCACTGTTTTTTCTTTCTTTTTTTCATTTTTCTTCCTCTTTTTTTTTTTTTTGGGGGGTGAGCTCTTGCATAACACTGCCTTATTTTTGGTTTTCTTTATCATTGCAGTAGAGCTGATCTGTAGCCACAGCAGAACCATTGTTGTTTACGTTGTTCATTGGCAGATACAGGCTTGGACCTGCTCCCCATTTGAATGTTTTTCTCATTTGATCTAAATGTAGTCATGGGGTACTGACTGTTTGCGCTCTTTGACTATGTGTCTAATTTGCTGATTAAGTTCTGTGTAGACCTGACTTGCATGACGTGAGTTTCTTTGCTATCAGCTGAGATGAACATTATCCTATGCTTGTTTGTTTTTTAAATATCTCAGAAACCAGCTAAACAAGTCCTTGAGTTTCTGTTCAGACAACAGTGGGTAGCAGTTTCAGTTTCAAAACTGATTTGTTTTGCTCATTGGACACAAATTAAGATTTTGCAGAATGTCCAGAGTACAATTTTTTTTTTTTTTTTTCCCACGAAAAAAAAGAGCATTATAAAAAGTATTCATATCATATGACTTGTGCAATATATTCCAAATCTAAACCAATTATATTCCCAATTAGGGATTCACCGAATGTTCGGCAACCGTTTTTTTTTTTTTTCCCACGAAAAAAAAGAGCATTATAAAAAGTATTCATATCATATGACTTGTGCAATATATTCCAAATCTAAACCAATTATATTCCCAATTAGGGATTCACCGAATGTTCGGCAACCGAAATTATTCGGCTGAAAATAGCAAAAAAAGCTCTTTCGGTGTTCGGCCGAATAAG